AAAAAGACACTCCAAGAAACTGCAGGGCAGACCAGCAAAAGCTTTCCCTTTTATTTATCAGTTCCATTCTTATTAGCCACTGGGAGTGGTTTGTTAATGCTCCTAAACTATCCTAATACAGGTAGTCCTCAACTTACCTTATGATCACAAAGCCCCAAAATTATGTTGCTAAGTGAGACAGTTGTTAAGTGAGTTTTGCCCCATTTTACAACCTTTTCTTGACAAGTTGCTGAGCGAATCACTGAAGTTAAGTTAGTAATACGATTGTTAAGTGAATCTGGCTTCCTCATTGATTTTGCTTGGCAGAAGCTCACAAAAGGTGATCACATGACCCCAGGACACTGAAACCGTCATAAATATGAGTCAGTTATCAAGCGCCTAAATTTTTATCACAGGATTATGGGGATGCTGCAATGGTTTTGCAGCTTATAAAAAATGGTCATAGATCACTTTTTTCAGTGGTGTTGTAACTTTGAATGGTCAATAAATGAGCGGTTATAAGTCAAGGACTACCTGTAAAAGACACACAAACAAACACACACACATACACACACATGTACACAAGGGCCAGTTGCACAGGACAGTTATGTATGAATCTAATTTTTGCACTCTAAAAAAGTTAAACATGGAATTTTTCTTGGCAGTGCTGGGGAGGATAATTAATTAATTGAGAAGCTGGGGACATTAAGGTTAGATTTCCTCTGTTTCTCTGAAGCTACTTCAGGCCTCTTCAAGAGTCAACTTTCTGAAATCAATGTGTAAATGGTTATCAAGCCATTACTTCAGTTGTGTTACAGTACACATTTTGGGGTCATTGGTTTGGTGCCTTTGAGTCAGTGCTGACTCATGACAATTGCATAGCTTAATCCCTGCAGTTTCCTTGGCAAGATTTTCAGAAGCGGCTTACTCTTGCCTCCTTCCTAGGGCTGAGAGAAATTGAGTGGCCCATGGTCATCCAGCTGGATTTATGCCTAAACTGGGACTAAAACTCACAGTCTCCTGTCCCAAAGGTTCTTTTCCAAGAGGAAAACTGGACTTTCTGGTTTTTCTTTTCTCTGCCTCTTGAAAAAGCACCTTTGGGACAATCCTGACCGGGGTGACTGAGAATCTCCATCTTCATGGTCTCCTGGTTTTTAGCCTGGTGTCTGAACCACTACACCAGACTGGCTCCGAATCAATTTTCTAGTCATTGAGTCCTTAGCGAGCCACAAAGTTGCTGCTTTGTTTGAACCAAGAGAGACACGTATTTGTGCTGCTTTAACTCAGTTTAAAAAATTCTGCTAGCTTTGACTTTTGTCACACATCCTTACAGTAATTAGTTTCACCAAACGTCTGTTTTTCATAGTTACATAAACTCATTAAGCAGAGTTTGATTATTCACCATGTGTGAGATGGGCAGCCATATAAATTTGTAATGAGTAAATAAATAAAATATCTGCTGATATTTAAGCTCCTTTAAAGAGCTCCTATTATAGATGTCCCACACCTATTCAGGGAGTGGGAAATCCTTTCTTTTGTTGATAGATTGACAGTATTCAACTTATGCAGAGGGAGAAAGTGATCTGGAAAGTAATGGTGATTTGATAGTAGTCTTTTTTTTTTAACAAAAGAAAAAACAGCTGAATTCATGTGTTAAAGCAGGGCCGTCAAACTCGTGGCCCATGGGTCAGGTGCACTATGCGCTGTCCACGCCCATGACAAGTCTAGTGAAAGGAGGGAAAAGTCACCACATGTCATATGACGCCACCGTGACGACGTGAGTTTGACACCCCTGTGTTAAAGCTACAATATTAGGCCTTCATTTTCCCAGGACTGATTTTGAAAGCTTTGTTCCTTTGAACCAAGTCAGTTCCAGAATTGTGCCCTTGTTGGACAATTTCCAACAAGGGCACAATGCTTTCTGTCCAAATTCACATTGGCTACACTTTCCCTTTTAGCACCTCACCTTGCAAATAGGGGAACAATCCCTTTTGATATTATGCTGCTCTATGACGGCCTATTATGAATGCTTCACCTTATTTATTTCAGAAAGACTTGTAGAGAGACAGTTCGCTGTAGTGATTAAAGTGCTGGCCTAGAAACTAGTAAATTGTGAGTTCCAATCCCTTAGTAATGAATGGGTAACTTTGGGACAATCGCCAAGAGACTGTGAGTTGCAGTCCCATTTTAGACATGAAAGCCAGCTGGGTGACTTTGGGCCAACCACTCTTTCTTAGCTCAACTCACTTCACAGGTTGCTGTAGGGAAGAGGAATGGGAAGAGGAAGGAGTATTGTGTGTATTGGCTGCCTTGAATTATTTATAAAGTAATAAAAGCAGGTTAAAAATCAAATAAATAAATAAATGTGGCTTTCTTTTCCTAGGAACCACTTTCAAATCAGTCCCAGTCTAGTTATGTAAAACCCGTTCCTCTTCCCAAAACTTCTTTTAAACGCAGTCTGCCTATAAGGGCAATTAAAAATTAACTTTTGGGTCCATTCTTCAAAAATATCCTTTAATTGTTATATTGTTCAAATATCAAACATTCTTCAAATATTAGAATATTTCGCTTCATTCTGTATTAGTGGATCAAAAAGTGTTTTTCCATTTTAGTTGTAATGGCCCATTTCTTCTGGTTCCCTTTAGTGTCCAATGTTCAAATTCTCCTATTATCATGTTTTTTTTAAAGAATTCAAACAGAATTTTTACAGGGGTAGGATACTTATAATTAATTTCAAAGTCCATCTGGACTATTAGTCTGTTTCTAAATTTCCAAAATCATCCTGTTGCTATTTATTCTGAAAAAAGAGGGGGGGGAGGTGTTACTTGTCTTTTTCTTCTCCTTAAACTCTTTAGAACGTTTTTTTTCCTGCTAAGAATTGAAGTCACCCAGTGTATGTTATCAGACTTGTTGTCCATTGTATGATTCTTAATAGCTGAAAAGCTGCTAAAACCCACTTTCCCAAAGTAATCAAGAAATGAGTTTGGCGGTGTACCTATAAGGATTACATTGCTGTTTTGAGCTTGATGGAATTTGCTCAACCCTGAGATGTTCAACTCACAATCTGACTGCAGGAACCTCAATCCCTGCTGCTCATTCATGAGGAGCAGCTGTCCAGAATGCAAGTGGATTATCTGGATAATCTCCTTTATCTGGATTGGCTAGTCAGAAAACACCATCTAGTCACTGACCATGTGTCTCCACTCCTTCAAAGATGTTTACTTCACCATGTATTAGCAAACATTTAAAGACCAAACATTCACGAGGGATAACTTGGCAGTCAGTTTTTCTTACAGCTTGATGAACTGTCAGCCTTTCATAATTTTATTTTGGTCTCAAAGCAAAATTATGAAGGGCTGACAGGGGTGTCAAACTCGATTACATTGAGGGCAGCATCATGGTTGTGTTTGACCTCTGGGGGCTGGAGTGGGCGTGGCCAGCTCAACATCATTCATGTCGGGGGCATCTGTGTTGACCTGAGCACTCTGCCAGTGAAAATGGGCTTCCAAGCACTGTTTTCGGCTGTGACGGCCTCCTGCAACTCTCTGCCAGTGAAAACGGAGCCCTCCTGAGTTCTGTTCTCTCTGGTGGAGGCACTGTGGGCCGGTCCTTTGCTGTTTCCAGGGCATTCCCATGGGCCAGATCTAAGCACCCCACAGGCCGGGCCGGCCCCTGGCCTTGAGCTTTACACTTCTGCAATAGGGCATTCAGAAACCAGTCGATACATTTCCCAAATGGGCATGGTGGGCTCCTCCAGTGAACTTCCACCCAGTGGCTACACACATCATCAAATGTCTCTCTGATTGGCAAAATCATTTTGCATTTGTTGGGTAAGTGGTGAAAAAGAGGCCTCTCATCTTTTGTTAAGTGAATCTGGCTCCCCATTGACCTTGCTTGTCAGAAGTTTGCAACAGGTGATCATGTGACCTGGGACACTGCAGCCATCATAAATCTCAGTCTGTTGCCAAGCGCCTGAATTTTGAGCATGTTACCGTGGAGATGCTGCAATGGTTGTAAGTGTGAAAAACGGTCATAAGTCACTTTTTCAGTACTGTTGTAACTTCAAAAGGTCACAAAAAGAACTGTTGTAAGAGGAGAACTACCTGTATGGTCTTTAGTCTCTTTTTCCTTTGTGTGCATGACAATGAGGGATAACTTGGACTGTCCTAGTTGATCCTAAGCACAATTGTATGCCCTGCATACACATTTCTTGAAATGAAAGATTATTAGACATCCCTTAGTATTTGTTTGTGTGATATAAAACAATACGCTTCTTGTTTTATTCATATCAAGCAGTCCTTTGAAGAACAAAAATACAACTCTGCTACTTTTTCTGATTAATTGGCAACTCTATAATTGATTAGTTAGCTTCACCAGGCATTTAAGTCATCTTGGCTTATTTAGAAAGCTAAAGAGAGAAAAAAAAATTGGTTTGTGCTTCAGTCAGAGACCACTTTGGAAAATCAGTGCTTAAATTAAGTAGAGGGCTTGAAATGATATTCTGGAAGAAAGAAATAGCAAGCCATGTTTGTATTATTTATTTACTAAATTTATTTGCCATCCATCTCACTGTCAACCAACTCTGGGCAGCTTATACTAACAATAAAGATAATGAAAAGTTATAAATGTTAAAACATTAACATCAATAGTCAACTAGATAAAAGGAACCTAGTGCGTAAATGGGCTGGAGGGAGGATTTTATCTAATCTACTCGCTATTCCAGAAAGGGCCCCAAGTCAATTGGCAGAGCCAACTTGTAACCAAGACAACTGTGTGAATGTAATTTGTCAGGACTGGAGCTAAACTGGGCCCAAAGGTTGGTGAATATATATTTTTTCCTCTATCAGCTGCATGACAGCATGAAATTCAACTGATACATTTTTTCTCCTTGTGTGAAAGAAACTACAGTATTCCTGCTGAATGGTCTATATCTGTTGCATAGCTGAGGAATGACCCTGATAAGTGACCTTCCTTCGCCAGCTCTGAACGCAAGTTAATCATTTGCTCTGTCAGGTTTTTTTTTTTAAATTGTTGCAAAATTTAGTTCACAAATTAATTCGAATCTCTTCATCCTTGAAGGCAGATACGGTATGACTAAGCATATTTTTAAAACTGGGTTAAACCCCCCTGTTTCCTCCCCTCCCAAAAGGAGCTATTGTACAAAAGCAGGCAGGACTTCAGGCTCCTTGCTAATTTGCGAGGCATTTCTCACAATTACCCAGCAGAGAAGTTACACCTGGTGAGTGCTTCTAATTGCTTCTTCTGGCAGTTAAAGTGCCTGCTATGATAAGCAGTGTTATCTACATGGACATTTATGCTAGATTTGTCTGGCAGTGATTACAGATAAATTCAGGCCCTGCAATGTATATTATTATATTAGATACTTTTGGGATTATATGGGTAACTTGAAGCTGTCTGGAGTTGGTAGATTTGGGGGAGAGGTATCTAAGCTGAAACAAATCGCTTTGAGAGAGATGAGATATGCTGGTTTAAAATTGAGCCATAATGGAGCCTTAATTCGATCAGGGGAGACATGATAGCAGTGTTCCAATATTTGAGGGGCTATCACAGAGAGGGAGGGGGGTTCAACCTTTTTTCCAAAGAACCTGAAGCCCAGACAAGGAATAATGGATGGAAACTGATCAAGGAAAGGTTCAACCTAGAAATAAGGAGAAATTTTCTGACAGTGAGAACAATCAACCCATGGAACAAAAGTTGCCTTCAGAAGTTGTGGAAGCTTCATTTTAGCAAGACTTCTCCATTGTTGAAGATTAGATTAGATTAGAATTCTTCATTGGCCAAGTGTGATTTGACGCACAAGGAATTTGTCTTGGTGCATACGCTCTCAGTGTACATAAAAGAAAAGATACATTCATCAAGAATCATAAGGTACAACACTTAATGAGGGGGCTGGCAAGTAGAAATTTAAGACTATATAAAGTTTTCCAAATTTTCCAATTACTGGTGGCATTGAGGAAAATTAGAGTTGTTGAATTCTACTTAAGATGGGAGCCCAACCATTAAGCGACAGCCTGGTCTTCTTCAAGAAGATCAGTCCAGAAGTTCAGCTCAGGGTATGCTATGGACTGTATTTCATGGCTTCTTTGGCAAAAGCAGCTACTTCTGGATTCATAATGGTTCCTCTTCCACTTCTATTTTAGGACATCCACAAAGTTCATCTTCCTTCTACGCTGAGCTTGAGACTCTGAAGAATTTCCCAAAAGATGGCAGGGAAACCTAAACTGCACTACACTCGAGGAAGAGGAAAAATGGAATCTATCCGCTGGCTACTTGCAGCAGCCGGAGTTGAGGTCTGTTTTAGCATGCTTTTTGCAGGCATACGGCACAGAATTCATCTAGTGCTCTGGCTGACGTGTCAAAAGGATTTTCTAATACCAGCATCAGAGACTGACCAATGATTCACCCTTGCAACAGATTCTTCACTAAATGGATGGGTTGATACATCCACAGGTGCAAGAATCAAAGCATTCATATGATATTTTCTGCCGTGGGGGACAGGGCTCCCTTTTCTTTTCTCTTGTGAAACAGATTTTTCAAAATCTTAGGGAGGCTCTGGATTGGTGAATTTAAAGCATCTGAGGTGCAAAAAAAAAGCTGATACTCAAGTTTGGGAAGGGTTGATATACCTGTCTGGACAATGAAATCAGAATCAGGAAGGGGATTAGAGTGGTTCCAGATCAAAGCCATGTTTTGCAATGGAATTAAAAAAATACAGAGCTGATTTCCTTTTTAGGCGATATGCTCATAAAGCCTTTTGCTGTGTTTAGCCGACCTTGGTTGATTGCAACAAGCTAAGCAGACTTGAATTTGATTAGAATTTGGATCAAAGGGCACTAGGAATGTTCATGACCATGTGCTAGGTGAGGAAATTGAAGAAAATATTCCAGAACAAGGGACGCAAATTGTGAGCATAAAAACTGCAAGGCTGAAATTACAGGCACTGAGGTCATCTTGAAGGATTTGGGACCTTTTTACTGGTGCTGTAGTTGTGGCAGCCTCTTTGCAAATGCACAAGGTTCTTTTCACCGCCATTTTGCAAAGGCACCTATTACTTCTTCATAAAAACCTGAATCAGCTTCCACCCCTGAATAGGAAAGCTCTGTTATATTTGGGGGGTGAGGGGTGTTAAACACAACTTGTTTCAAAAAAAAATATGCCAAGCATGAGCTACTCTACTTCCTCCAAAATGTTCTTATAAAACAAGGAAAAAGCATTTCATTTTATTTCTGCATTGCAGTTTGAAGAACAATTTCTAGAAAAGAATGAAGATTTGGAGAAGTTGCGGAGGGGTGAGTTGGATGCAAATTTTAAATATAATTTATCATCCACTTTATGATGAGCTCAGGACAAGAGTTTATAGACACTCTGCTTTGAGGTGAATTGAATGGCATCATCTGAATTGCAAAGATTTATTGGGAGCTTGGGCAGTTGACAGCTTGTTTCTGGATCTAATCCTAAACAGGGCTTTTTTTTACTATTATACTACTTAGCTCCATGGAGGACTCCATGTATCTTATCATCAGTAGAATTGTCCCCACAATGCAGGAGTGAAATCCAGCAGGTTCTGACAGGTTCTGGAGAACCAGTAGTGGAAATGTTGAGTAGTTCAGAGAACTGGCAAATACCAGCATTGGCTGGCCCCAGAGTGGGGTGGGAATGGAGATTTTACAATATCCTTTCCCCAAGAGTGGGGAGGGAATGGAGATTTTGCAGTATCCTTCCCCTGGAGTGGGGAGGGAATGGGGATTTTGCAGTATCCTTCCCCTGCCACGCCCACCAAGCCACACCCACCAAGCCAAGCCAAGCCACATCACGCCACACCACCAAGCCACGCCCACAGAACTGGTAGTGAAAAAATTCGATTTCACCACTGCCACAATGTGAATGACTTGGCCCTTCCTATGAGCTGGATTAGGTTTCCTCAGCCAGCAAAATTGTTCCTAAAATTGCTGGGAGTTGAAGCCCAGAAATTAATTCATATTAATTAAATATCCTGGTTATACATGGATGTTGCTCTGTTAAGGTGTGCTGCCTATCCTGAGGCTGTAATCCTTGCATTTTTAATGCATGGGTTTTTAAAAAAATAGTAGAACATATTAAATAGGCCAGTCAAATCAATCTGAAATATTCAATAAGCATATTTAGTTTAATTTAAATTGAATTTCTGTTTTCTGAATTGTTCTTCTTATTTGTCTTTCACCAGATGGATGCCTGCTTTTCCAGCAAGTGCCCATGGTGGAAATTGATGGGATGAAGCTGGTGCAAACGCGAGCCATTCTCAGCTATATTGCAGCAAAATACAATCTCTACGGGAAGGATTTGAAAGAAAGAGCACTGTACGGGGTTATGACTATCTTGATTAAAATCTAGAATTTATTACAGACTTGTAACAGAAATATAACATGTAATGCAGATGTATTTTGAGGTGTAGCTTTATATTAGCATTCAAGAATGCAGTATAGACTGCGGTATTGCAAACTACCACTAGATGGTGGCAAAGAGATGGATCTTTTTATAGCTCTTTTCTCCCATCTGCTGGTTACTTCAGTTTTTGCAATACAGATCCAGTGATACGGTATTATTATTTTCCCTGCCTGATAAAAATCTTTCATTTGGACTTCAAATGATTGGAACAAGTAGCTTTTTAGCAATGTGGCAATGAGTAAGAAAACAATAATTTAAAGGGCAACCTATAAAGTGTATGTAGCAAGACTTTTTTTTTTTAAAGCATTCCTCTGAAGCATGAATGAGGAACTTATGGTCTTCCTGGTGTTAATGAGTTAAAATGTTCAGCTTCTTTCAATATTGGCCATGTTGCTTGAAGTGTTTCATTTGAAGGTCAGCACTCTTGTACCAACAGTGAGTTCCCCTCCTGCTCAGTGATCTTAGAAAAATATGTTTTATAGAATAGCAGTTGTGGAAGATGTTTTTAAACCTCTTTTTTTTGCCAAAACAGTCAGTTCCCTTCCATAGATTGCCAATTATTAATGTACCTTTAATGCATTAATAAATGGCAATCTATGGAAAGGAACCGACTGTCTTTAACTGACTGAACTGACTAATCTTTAATACGTTTAATGCATGCAAAGTGGAATCAGGCCTTAGGTTGCACACATTAACTAAGAAGGATGTAGAAATACTTCTATCAGGTTTAAATTTCTTAAATAGCTCCCCCCCCCCACAAAAAAGCCTAACTTCTAATTTTAAATACTTTTTTACAGGTCAAGCTAATGGATACGTGTCCCTGTAGTCACTTGGGGCCCAATTCAGGGGCACCTAATTTTAAAAATATTTTCTCTCTCCCCTTTGACCATGTCTTTCAGGATTGACATGTATGTGGAAGGAACCACTGATCTGATGGGAATGATAATGATGCTTCCTTTACAGCCTGCTGAAAATAAAGAAAAGCAAAGAGCCTTGATTATTGAAAGAGCTACAACCAGATATTTTCCAGTATATGAGAAGGTAAGTGATAATGAGGTAGGGGCTTTAAAACTCGTCTTCCCCATGTATTTCCTTCCAGTTGGGTTGAACTAAAGCAGGGGTTCAATTTCATTAAGGGCCGCATCAGGGATGTGTTTGACCTTGGAGTGCCATGTGTGTGGCCAGAGTTGGGCGTGGCCATGGTGTGTGTGGCCAGGTGGGTGTGGCCAGGTGGGTGTGGCCATGATGGGCATTTGACACAGGCTCAAGACTCATTTTTCCCCTTCTTTCTTTCCACAGTTCTTTACTATAACCATTTTCCTATCTCTTCTACCAGATATTACTGGCAAACATTTATTACTTATTCTTCATATTCCACTAAACTTCTTATTTCTAAATGAATACCCCATTGTTTAATAGCAAATTGCTTTTCCTGTTAGAAAAGCTATACTATTGTATTTTTATTATTCAATTAATAATAAAAATACAAAAGCATAAATAGCATGATAATACAAGATCTAACAGCAGAGGTAAATTTCCAGGATAGTAAATAGAAATGGCTGTCAATTATAGATACAGAATTGAATACAGAATAGAATACAGAATACAAAATAGATTGTTGATTGTAGATTAAATGGACCTACAGTACGTAAAATATGGCATTAAACTGTAGTATTAATATAGGATGTTGCTTGTTTTCTATCCAGATCAGGCACTTACTTGAGGCCACATAATTGTAATCCAGTCCAAGCCAGTCCTCCTGCAGCACTTGGCCGGCCAAAAACGGGTCACACGGAGGCCCTGGGTGGGCCCTCGGCAGCCCGTTTTTGGCCTCCACAGCTTCCTGCAGCATTCTCCCAGCCGAAAGTGGGAAAGCCCCAGGGGGGGTCTGCCATTTTGGCCGGCAGAGGCACCGTGGGCCGGTCCTTTGATATTTCCAGGCCAGCCCCATGGGCCAGATCTAAGCATCCCACGGGCCAGATCCGGCCCGCGGGCCTTGAGTTTGACACCCCTGAACTAAAGCATTCGTAATCCCCATGGTTGTACTGACTAAGGATGATGGGTGTTGTAATCAAGCCTGTCTGAAACCTACAAGCTTGGAAAGGTTGGCTCAGAACTTATATCTTCCAGTATAGGTTTCCCAAGATGTAAATATGTGACACGGCAGATTTTATTTATTTATTAAATTTATACCTTGCAATCAGAATACTCTCCAAACAATAGTTACTGGACTTTAGCACTACCTTTGAAGAGTATGAAACCATCCATTGTATAGCACCAGTAGCCAAAGCAATTATTTTACTCCTGTTGCAAATATTGCATCTGTTAGAAATGTACCAGGGAAGCTTATCTGTCTAAAATAATATATTTGCCTTTTGCAATATTAGGCGACAAATATCTTCATCTTATTTTGGGTTTCTTCATGTTACAGATTTTGAAAGACCATGGACAAAATTTTCTGGTTGGTAACCAGTTTAGTTGGGCAGATGTTCATCTCTTGGAAGCTATCTTAATGGTTGAAGAGTTCAAGTCTGATGCTCTCACTAAATTTCCTCTGCTGCAGGTAAGGACACTATTAAAACTGTGGGAATTGGCAAGCCCTGTGACTGCAGTATCAGGCAATCTGTATTTTCACAGAGTGTAAATACAGAGATAAGATCATCAGGCACTGATGGGGGCTATTTTAAAAGAACCACTGCAGCTACCAGCATGCCACGAGGATGATGCTGATGCTGATAATAATAATAATGACTTTGACATCTGTAGTGAATGAGTATGAATTTCTGTCCCTTTGGGATGATATACAAGTAGTCCTCATCTTATGACTACAATTAAGCCCAAAATTTATATGGTTTAGTGAGAATTTTTTAAGTGAGTTTTATTATTTATTTATTTATTATTATTATTCAAATTTCTATATCGCTCTTCTCCTTTCGGACTCAGGGCAGTGAACAGCCAAAATAAAAACATCTATACATAACATTACAATTAAAAATAGAGTTAAAATAATTTATAGATTTGGCCCATAATTTAAAACTTGTCAATTTAAAATCAATATTAAAATTTTAAAACTAACCCTAAAATCAAGACAGACCAGCTAACTGAAAAAAAAATAAGTTTTTAGGGCCCGATGAAGAATCCGGAGGTCGGAGATCACTCGTATCTCTGGGGGTAGATTGTTCCAAAGGGTAGGTGCCACCACAGAGAAGGCTCTCCTCCTGGGGGTCGCCAGCCGGCATTGTCTGGCCGACAGCACCCTGAGGAGGCCCATTGCCCATTGCCCCATTTTGCGACATTTCTTGTCACGGTTGTTAAGTGAATCACTGCAGTTGATAAGTTAGTAACCTGGTTGTTAAGTGAATCTGGCTTCCCCATTGACTTTGCTCATCAGAAGGCTGCAAAAAGTGATCGCATGACCCCAGGACACTGCAACGGTCATAAGTATGAACCACTTGCCAAGAATCTGAATTTTGGTCGCATGATCATGGGACTGATGCAAAGCTTGTAATTATAGGTCATGTCCCTTTTTTCAGTGCTGTTGTAACTTTGAACGGTCACTAAATGAATTGTTGTAAGTTGAGGACTACAGCCTTTTTGAAATGCAGGCATTTCTAATCACTGCCTATGCCAGTGATGGCGAACCTTTTTGGCACCAAGTGACCCGGAAGAGAAGTGGCACAAAGGGCATGCGCACTGGGAAATGAACTTCCAGTTTCTGGCACGCGCATGCACACTGGACAGCTGGTCTTCTGGTTTCTGGCACGCGATGATCAGCTGGCCAGCATGCATGTGGATGCCAGAAACCGGAAGACTAGCTCTGCTACACACGCAAAGGCCAGCTGATTGTTACCCGTGTATGCGCACCAGAAACCTGGAAGAGGAATGGGCAACGCCATGCATGTCAGGCGACATGACTCTGCATGCCACTTCGGGCACGTGTGCCATAGGTTTGCCATCATGGGCCTATGCTGATACATGGCACATGCTTGGAAAAAAACCCATCACCTCTTCCAAGTGCAGTCAGGATTAAGCTGGCTTTCTTGTTCTTCCTTAAATGTGCATATTACCTGATTCTCCGGACTCTGCACTGGTAGATCTCCCCGGTTTAGCTGCAGAAGAATCTTGTGGCACTTTTCATCAATACTATCTCTAGTTGATGTTTCTTTGAAGTTGATTATTAGTTATAGATCAAAAACATCCAAGAAGGCAAAGGTTCCCTTTAAAAACTGCACCCACTCCCTGCACACATCATGAAGTTCTTTGATGCTTTGCCAGATCCTTTCTTTGCAGCTTAGCCTGGATTGCAGTTTGAACTTGTACAGATTGCTCAATATTTAAGCACTATTTCCAATAGTTGCTCAACCATCAGGTGATTTGATGGGCAAAAAGGAGTGTGGAGGGAAGACCAGAGAAGGGAGGGAGAAGGGGAAAAAAGAAATAAATCTGTAGGGGTTTTTTTTCAATGACTTCTTGGCAATCTAAATACTGGAAAGGATTTGGGAGTCTTCCACCAAGAACATCCAAGATAGATTACAAAGCTAGTATCGAGAACCACAAACCTACATATTATCTGTCATACGTGATTCTTGGTCAATATAAACTCACTTAATTAGTGAGCTTTATTTGAAGAATCTTGTTTCTGTAGAGCAGAGGTGTCAAACTCGCGTTGTCACAGCATCATCAACACGTGACATATCGTAACTTTTTCCGCTTTGCTAAATCGGGCGTGGCCAGTGAGGGATGCATCCGGGCTGCGGACCGCGAATTTGACAGCCCTGCTGTACAGGAATTATATGGACACCAATAACCTACCAATTTTATTGAATAGATTTGAAGGACGAGGGAAAAGGAAGACCTACACTCACAATAGTTCTGCAATGACAACCAGTTCCTCAAGCTTCTACGGAGTGTGCGTTTTTCTGCTAATTTCCTATTTACTTTTCAGAAAAACATTTTGAAATTAAGATTTCTGACCTCACCCATTGACATGTTTCCTTGCAGTACTTTGTAATATTAGCATTTAAAACTTTTAGTACTTCAGCATTTAATGATTGCTAGCCTTACATTTTCATTTTGCATCTAGAAATAGATAGCAGTTTCAGTCGGTAAACTCGTATCTTATTTTTCATTGTTTCTTAGAGGATTTTTCTCTCTCTTTCCTAGGCTTTCAAAACAAGAATAAGCAATATCCCTACAATAAAGAAATTCTTGCAGCCTGGAAGTCAAAGGAAACCTCCACTGGATGACAACATGCTGGCACAAATAAAAAAAGTATTCAATTTGTAAAGGGTTTTTCCAAATACTGACATATTTCTACTAACATGTTTTTTCCCAATATATTGCTGATTTTAACTGACCCTATTATTCGAAAGATAAACTAAGTAAAATTGCAATTCCTTTTAGTTTTATAATCAGTAAAATCAATAATTTAGATGAAAAAGATTTTTGAAGGCCTTGCATCTAAAATTATTGTGTATAATGCTGTTTTTTTTTCACACCAGCAAATAAATTCTATCTTACCCCCCAGGATATTATGTTATTGCAGTTTGTACCTTTAAAAAAAGCCCCAGTGATTCCTTATTTGTAATGCATTAACTCCTGTCTCTGTAGTTGCTACTATGTAAAATGGAACTCTGCACATCTTTACAGAAGTTAATCCTGTCGATTTAGAGCAATGCATTCTAGCCTACAAACATTTCTCTACTAACGAATCTTCAAATTGCAAACTTTTGCTGATGTGAACAAATCAGTCCGCACTTGGGGGTTGGAAAATGGACAAGTTTGTTATGGCAAAAACACATGTGGCACACTGGAAACCCGTCCCCCTCCTGACCCCTGGGACCCTCTAGGGTGGAGCTGCGGACAGACACAACACAGTTCTCACCCCACATAAACGGTAGCATTGCAGAAGAATCTGACTTGGGCAGCAGCGGTGGGGAAGACAGGAAAGGGCCAGCTTCTAGTGTGCCACATACATTAAGAGCCATGATGGCACAGTGGTTAGAATGCAGTATTGCAGGCTGATTCAGCCCACTGCTAGGAGTTCGATCCTGACTGGCTCAAAGTTGACTCAATCTTCCATCCTTCTGAGCAGTAATGGGTTCCACTTACCTTCGCTACCGGTTCAGAACCGGGAGCGTGCACATGCACAGAACCTTCTGCGCATGTGCAGAGCGTCCATGACGATGTCCGGGTGGGTGGGGGGAACCTCCTGCTGCCGCCACTACCAGTTTGCCCTGGTTTGGGGCGAATTGGTAGAAACCCACCACTGCTTCTGAGGTCTATAAAATGAGGAGCCAGGTTGTTGGGGGCAATATGCTGGCTCTGTAAACTGCTTGGAGAGTGGTGTAAGGCACTATGGAGTGGTATATAAGTCTTAGTGCTATTGCTTTTACTATAATATGAGGCATGCCAGAAACTGACTCTCTCCCTCCATGCCCTCTCCGGCCACCACTCAAAGCCCCAGACTGCTATCCGTGTGAGGCAAGATCTGTAATACACATATTTTTAAGCTTGCTGGATTTATGAACTAAATAGACTTACAAACAACCTCCTGGGACACAAGTAGAGTCATATCTGAATTTGTTGGTATCCTTTGACCATTTGTTACCTCTGTATATAGTTCATTAATTTATACTAATCACAGCAGGTGGCACCATCTTTTAAAAAAAATTTTAATTACATTTCTCAGTGCTTAATATACATCATGTTGTCTGGGTATTTAATTCGCTTAACAATACATATTACATCCTTAATCTCCACTTCTTTTTTCCAACCACTGATAAAATAGATTCCATGTTTGATAATATTCTACATATTCTTTCTGTTTCATTTTTAATGTCCATTTCTGCATACGCTAGTATCTTAATTATTTCTTTGTCATGGTGTTTATTTTTCCAGCATTGCACAAATACAATCCTTGCTGCTGTCAAGATGTGCAATATTAAATACATATTTTTCTTATCAAGTTTATCTGATATTATACCTAATAAAAATAGTTCAGGTTTAAAATCTACATGCTTTCCAATCATCTTTTCTAGGCATTTACCGTATTTTTCGGAGTATAAGACACACCGGACTATAAGACGCACCTACCTTTTTTGGTGAGGAAAAGAAGAAAAAGAAATCTGCCTCTGCACAATTTTGCCTCGTTGCAGCAAATAGACTGCTTTCAGTTTCGTTTTCAGCATAGCTTGATTAGCACAGGGGAAAAAAAAAATCTGCTCCAGCAATTTGCCTCCTTGCAGCAAGCAGCAGAGCCCTGTGCAAAGCAGCTGAGAGCAAATCAGCTGAGAGCTGGCAGACCGATCCAATCAACTTGTGTTAATTAGGATGTGCTGAAGCTGAAAGGAGCTGTTTTTTCTTGCTGTTTGCTTGCAAGGAGGTAAATTGCTGGGAGGCAGAGGCCAAAGGATGGGGGCCAGTGGTGGGCAGCGCTACATTCGTTGTATAAGACGCACTTAAATTTTGCGTCTTATACTCCGAAAAATATGGTATGTACTTTTTTCCCAACATTTTTTTTTGCTTTACCACAAGTCCACCACATATGATATGTGCCCGTTTTTTGTTTACATTTCCAACATTTGCTAGGCATATTTTTAAACATTTCTGCTAACCTAGCCAGTGGTAAGTGCCATCTATAAAACATTTTATATAAGTTTTCTTTATACGAAGTTGTCATTGCTAATTTATAATTCCTTTCCCGTAAATTTTGCCATTCCTCTAATTCTATATTATGACCAAAAAAACTTTCCCACTGTACTATTGTATCTTTTACTTGTCCTTTTTCCATTTTTAAATTTAGTAAAAAGTTATAAATCGTGATTAATTTTTAATCCAAATTCAACAGTGTTTGATCAAAGGGTGTTTGCCCTTTATAAAACCCATACTTTTTCATATCTAAATCATATCTAGATTGTATTTAATGTCCTGGTCTTCAAGCTCGTTTCCATTTTAATTTCCCTTCCGAGTTCAAAATCTTCACAAAATCTGTCACAATTTTTTCAAACTTCACCAAATTTGAGTATGTAAAGGCTTCCATCATTGAGTGTCATTCTGGAATTTTTGAGTATATGTTGGGTTTTACTTTTTCCCATACCGATATTAGTGAGTTTCTTATATAATGATTTTGAAAGTATCTGTGAATTTTATTCTTCTCATACCATAGGAAGGCGTGCCATCCCAATTGTAGGTCATGTCCTTCTAAATCAGAGGTGGGTTTCTGCAGGTTCTGACCAGTTCTGGAGAACCGGTAGCAGAAATTTTGAGTAGTTTGGAGAACCGGTAGTAAAAATTCTGACTGGCCCTGCAGAATTCTATTATCTGCCTCCCAAGTCCCAACTGATCTATGAGGAAATGGGGATTTTACAGTATCCTTCCCCTGAAGTGGGATGGGAATGGAGATTTTATAGTATCCTTCCCCTGCATTTACTTTAGATTCTTGTAATATTTTTAGTTTTATTCTCGCTTTTTTCCCTTGCCAAATAAATTTCAAAGTTAATTTATTCAAGTCTTCAAAAAAAATTTTTACCAATTTTTATAGGTATTGTTTGAAACAGAAAAAGCAGTTTCAGTAAGTTGGCAGCATCTTGGTGACTTTGGCTGATCTTGAAAAAAAGGCTTAAAACCAGCTAATATCGTTACAGTTTAAGATGGGAATCCACCAGGAAATATTAGGGTTCTCAGAGAGTCTGGGAAGTTAAAGAAAAATCCCTGAAAAGGCAGTTGTGAATCCCTTCATCATTTAAGTGTTGCAAGAAAAGTACACAGATGTGTTCATATATTCACCTCAACTTGAAGGAGTCATTGTTATTATATATGCTTAGATGTTGACCAAACTAATTTTGTTCTGTAATTTATGACATATGTTCAAACCAATGTAAGCATAATTAGTATTTACCTTAAACATAGCCTTGACCCACAAGTTAATGTGGTCTAACATCTTTGCTGGATGGTGAGCACCGATTGAAAATAAGTAGGTTGGTATCTACAAAAGTAAGTACAAATATCTACACCAGCAATAACAGAAGGATTACCTGTAGTAGATCCCTTGGCCAGACACTATGGTAGTTTGATAAAAAACAGTTTAAAATAGGTGACTTCAAGGTAACTTCAACCTTTCCATTTTTGGGGATTCCTGCTAAATAAACCTTTGCCTTGGTCAAGTAATGAGAAGAGAAGATATATATATTATATTCTGTCCCACCCTATCTATAATTTAGCATTTTTTCCAGTCAATCACATTCAAATCACTTTAAGAAATACTGAAAGTCAACAACTTACAAGAGAGTTTGTATCCAAAATATTAAAGTGTTTTTATTTTTAATATGGTATTTGTTTGCATTTCAAGACATAAGCCATACCTGTTTTGGAACTGATTTTTTAGCACTATAAGAATTAATACAGCATTCATTAATATTTTAATGGAACGGAAGTACAATATTTATTTATTTATGAAACTATATATGGCCGCCCAACTCACTCTCAGTGACTCTGGGTGGCTTACAAAGATAAAAATCAATATAAACCATATACATAAATTTATATTATTCCATATCTTGATCTATGAAATTATATTCATCCAGGACTGGGTATGATTTTATTAGATGCCACCATATATGACAAACCTGAGTTTTAAAAATCCTGTGACTTCTATCCATTCCAGGGAGAATAAAGCATAAATTGAAACTTTATCCCACAAATTAAAATAATAATTAGGCGGCCAAGTTAGTCATTGGTCTGAAAAGGACATAAATCAACAAAATGTTAGTTAAAACATTAAAGAATGCAACCCCACATACATAAGGAATGAATGCATTTCTGTGTCCATGAGGAATAACACTGTCTTTATATCATCCTAATCACAACAAAAATGGCTGATCTTTCGGAAGGGACATCTGTAATTCAATGAGTATTTTGTCTGATTGTGTGGAAATCTGAAAGTGCTTCTTTTCTCATATGAGCCGGAAGACAAGTCTCACAACCATCACCAGGCTGTATTAAAAAAAAAGAAAAGAAAATTAAGAAATGAGCGATCAGTTAAGACATAAGCAATTTTATATTTTTATATTGACAGTTGCATACACAGAGAGAGAGAGAGTGCTCTGAATGAAGAGCTTCAACAGGAATGGGGAATCTGTGTGGAATTTCATCCTCAAAAAAATTTGGAAATTGCACACATCTACTGCAGATATGTTTCAAAACAAGCTTCCCTAGTTCATGCAGTTCACATATTAGAATAACAGAGTTGGAATGGACTTTGGAAGTCTTCTAGTCCAACCCCCTGCCCAGGCAGGAAACCCTACACCACTTCAGACAAATGGTTATCCAACATCTTCTTAAAAATTTCCAGTGTTGGAGCATTCACAACTTCTGCAGGCAAGTTGTTCCACTGATTAATTGTTCTGTCAGGAAATTTCTCCTTGGTTCTAAATTGCTTCTCTCCTTGATTAGTTTCCACCCATTGCTTCTTGTTCTACCCTCAGGTGCTTTGGAGAATAGTTTGATTCCCTCTTCTTTGTGGTAACCCCTGAGATATTGGAACACTGCTATCATGTCTCCCCTAATCCTTCTTTTCATTAAACTAGACATACCCAGTTGCTGCAACCGTTCTTAATATGTTTTAGCCTCCAATCCCCTAATCATCTTTATTGATCTTCTCTGCACTCTTTCTAGAGTCTCAACATCTTTTTTACATTGTGGCGACCAAAACTGAATGCAGTATTCCAAGTGTGGCCTTACCAAGGCATTATAAAGTAGTATTAACACTTCATGAGATCTTGATTCCATCCCTCTGTTTATGTAGCTCAGAACTGTGTTGGCTTTTTTGGCAGCTGCTGCAGATATGTTGGGTCTCAACCAATACAGTGTTTTCCCGAAAATAAGACCCTGTCTTATATTTTTTTGAACCCTGAAATAAGCACTTGGCCTTATTGCCATGCACTCAAAAGCCCGATAGGGCTTAATATCAGGGGATGTCTTATTTTGGGGAAAATAGGGTATAATCTAAGGTTGCATGGACTCTGCCTGGAAATCACAGTATCTGAAGTCTTTGATTTTGAATACCTGAAAGCAAATCCTCAACTCTTAAGGATAATGTTCTTATGTAAATAGTTCCTTTTGAAGTCAGGAGAATAGATTCCACAACCAACCTCCCCGCTTCTCTTTCTACACCCACACCCACCCACCCACACCTATTTCAGTGTGACGGTAGAATCATAGAATACTAGAATGTAAATTCAGAAATAGCATACTTTCATCTGGATGACAACAAGTGTCCAGTCATCTATAAACTGATTCTATGTTAATCAGTCCCATTACATCCAGGGACTCTTTTATAGCATTTAAAATCACACACTGTGTACTCGTACACAAGTGTAATCACAAGTATGACCCACTGTAGTAATTGGGGACTAGATAAGTAAGTTTTGGACTGTGTTTTAAAGCAGAAACGGTTTACCTGAGACCTGCTATAATTCCAGCTGGGATTAGTTTCTTGGTTCTCTTAAACCTCACTCCCATTATAGTAGTAAGTGTAAAAGCTGTCACTGCAGGCAAAAATACAGGATGTTTATTTTAGCAAATATTATGCTGTGCTTTAACTATATTCTCATAATTATTTATGGCAACAAATTAAAATTATTCCAAATTAAGTAGACAGATATTGAGACAGAAAGAAATCACTCAAATATCATAATATTCCAAAACAAAAAAAGTAAGTTTTTTTCTACATCATCATCATCTTATAATTAGAAATCTTTATACTGAGGTCAAGACAAACTGTGTCTTTGTGTCTGTTCTGAACCTCTTATCTTTCCATCTCAGCAATAATGATCTCTAGAGTTCTTTTTCCATAACTATTTTCCTAATTATATCTCATAATATTTCACTAATGAAACAAGAAATAGCTCGTGTACCTTTCAAAGAATGTGTTTTGATTAAATTAAAGCATCTTACTGTGTGAGCCAGACATGTTTTGGCCAAGTCATGTGCAAATTCGGACTTCAATTAAATGGC